GAGAGTGCTGCGTGTGTGACTTGGGTGCGTGGAGGGTGAGGGTTGTGTCGATCAAGTTGGAATATACGACGAGCCTAGGGCAAGTCTTGCCGCGGGGTACTACCTGGGCACCCCTGGAAATGGATACCTGTGGTGGGTAAATGGTATATGAGGTGACCCTAGGTGTGAACCTGTGATGGGAGGAGCCCCGGGTAGAGGTGCTGTGGTGGCACGGTAAATGGAAACCCTGATGAAGATATTCTGGCTTGGTCATCCCTAAGGACTTACTAGTATTCAGATTCACCGGGAAGCCTAACGTACCACTCGCCCTATATGGTGCGGGACGGCCAGACTACTTGGTAGGATATTGCCACTACTGCTAGGTTGATAGCGGACAGTGCGAGGAGGTACGAGGCGCGGAGGATTCTCCCCACACCCTTCCGAGACTTCATGGAGACCTTGTGGATCCGGCTTGTGACTCACAGTTTCAGCCACCCCAGACTAGACTTGGGGTGTACCAGGGCTGAATGGTAGGGTGGCATTATCCTAGGCTAGCAAGCGGCCGGAATCAGCCCAGTTGACGACGGTTAGCGAGGAAGGCTGATCTTGTGGTTATGTAAAACCTCTGCAGAGTGTATGGTTGATCGATCAATACATATGCCGACTTGTCGGCTATGGACATTTCCTGGGTTTCGCTTAAACTAGATAGCAAGATGAGTCCTTCTCTTCTTCCCCCGTGAGAGAGTGTCGGTCATAGCCAGGGGCTACGAGCCATGAGACAGTGCCGAGAGGGAGTTGGCCTGTCGACTGAGCGATGGTGTGGTGATGATATGGAGATGGTGGTATATCAATCCCATGATCGAAACCTGGCTCTGGACGGAAATGGGGTGGAATGTGTGTGGGAATGGTGTTAAAACTTGACTATACTATTATATACTTGATATGCTAATACATAGGAAACCCCAGCCTTATAGGTTCCTTCTGATTATATCCAACTTGCATTCAATTTCCACAAAGCATAGCTCATAGGGTGGGAGTGGCCAGTACAAATCGTACTGATAAATTTTGGCACACAAGTTCTGTTGAGGAGTATAGCTCTGAGGAGTTTGACGGTTGAGGGGTTCGTTCCTACGCTCGAGTTTGTCGATCTTATCTTCAAGCTGTTCTGAATGAATGCTACTTTTGATTCCGCCAATGCGGCGATGTAATAATTTATGTAATTCCGCACTATTTGTACTCTGATATTATCGTTGTATGGATGTGGTATTCGACTGGAATTTGGGTAATATGATCTACAACGGTCATAATACACTTCGACTCTGTGGATTTCTCTTCGCGGAAATCAGGTCGTTTCACTGACAATAGAAAAATATATCACTGTTGGGTCCCAAATAGTCTATGCTAATATTTAAAAATCTGTTATTGGAAATTGCAAGAATAAAATAGGCTATATCAGCAAGGAAGCCAATTCTGAAACCTTATAGTGCAATGCTGCCTCGAAGTTTGACTATGAAATTTATTTGCAGACTGTGCTGCAAGGCATCACCTGTAATAAGGAGAGTTCAGAGGTTTTAACAGAATCATTATGTCACAAGGAACAAAAACAGAACATTTCCTTATTTTAAAGAGGACAATTTGAACTTCGATATATTGTATGTGTTTAAATCAGTCTTGAGTGTGATCTTGCAATGTTCCTGCAACCCAATTGCATCATAGAAACCTGCTGCCAAAGCTTGAATAATTGAAATCATGTTGGTTTCAGTATTTGGGTGAGGAATAGCTTTATATTATATTATAATCATGCATATTTTAATGAGTTCATTGCTGGAGAACATGGGAGGAAAAAAAGGAATTATATATACAGGGAACTCAAAATAATTTATCAGCTCAGTATTCATCTCATTGGTTGTGAATTTAATAGATAGTTTAACAACATGAGAAAATGAGGACTCGATCGTTACCTGCAGTTGCAGGTGGTCGCGCGGCAAGCTCCCTGTGGGAGCATGCGACATCGAAAGCCTTGACGTCGCTGCCAGTCCCACTTGCCCATCCTCTGCCCGCCGTAGTTACTCCCGACGCTGGTGGCAGCCTACGTATACGCGTCCGCGCCGAGGCTGGGCACGGGTCGCCGCGCTCGCGCTGTGGCAGAGTCAAGGGCCAGGGTCGTTTGGTGCCCGTGCCCACGCCGCAGCCCAACCATTGCCAGGCGCTCGCGTCGTGGTCTCCCGCCAAGCGATGGCTTCGACAACTAAATTAATGGGTGGAGGAAAGATTTGGATTAGATTGAAAACCGAATTAAACCTTAGAATAAGAAAATTATTTAACTATCCTGGATTTAGTTATCCTGTAACAACGTACGGGCATGCTACCTAGTTGATGTATCAACTTAATGGCTAGACAGCTACTTGTTCATACTGCACACTCATTTAACCATCCTGAGTTCTATCACCTTCATAATCTTCTCAAAATTGTAAATAAGTCAAATGGCATAAACCTGGAAATCTACCATCCCTAACCCAAACCTAGAAAATGAGGACTGGTCGATGCGAGTATCTACCCTAGACAAGGAAATGTGTTTCTAGCCTGCTAACATCCAAAGCATCCATGGTGCTGGAGCGAATGATCCCTCCAGCAGCATGCATTTATTACACCCATCACGGTGCTCGACGTCAATGCAACACGTCTGACGCTTCATGAGCCTCAGGCATGCAGGCAAGCAAATGAAGGGCAGAAATGGGATGATGATGATTAGTAATTACGTGGAGGCAGTCGAGCGCGGGCTCGACGAGCTTGACGTGCTTGGTCTCGACGGCGAGGCGGAGTGGCTGCAGCACCAGCTCGTCCTGCGGCCCGTCGAGCACGCGCCCAGCCGACGCGAGCGCCTCCGTGATGACCGTGCCCTCTGCCTTAGCCCCCTTGATGCTTTCTTCAATGACATGAGCCCCACGCAGAGACCACCATGGCTCCATCATCAGCCACCACGAGATCCCAATGCGCGGGAGGAGAGGGAGGAAAGGGGCCGCACGCATGCACCGAGGTATGACTGGATGGATTGCTGCAGCAGCGGCGAACTTGCCGCGGTTGGCGGCGCACTCCTTGAGCATGGCCTCCGCGTGACGAACCCGCCCGCGGCGCCCGCCATGGCCGTGGATCTCAGCTCCGGCCGCAGAGACGGGAGGAGGGGCGGAGTGGTTAGATCCGAGGAGGGGGAGTGGGCATGGGATGGAGAGGGCACGAGATCTGGAGTGGCGCGAGATCTGATGGAGGAGGAGACCGAGAGCCCCCGCTGAAGGGAGCAGGGCCACGGATTGCACGAGGAAGGGAGCAGGCGCCGCGATCAATGTGGTGCCCCGCGGTGTTGTTTTTTTCTCGGAGGATCCGTGATCAACGCGTGGAGATAAGGGCCCACTTGGCGGCGCGACTTCCCCTCGCAGGATCGCACGTCGAACGGCAGAGCGACGACCCGAACAATTGTCGCACTATTGGATGGTGTTAGTTTTGTTCTTTTTAGTTGTGGGAGAAATAGTTTGGTAACTTCACGCCAATAGCTCTTTGATGCTTACTCATCATGGGCAATTTTTGCAACCTACTTCCTCCGTCTGTATAAGAACAATTCTGGGTAAATGTTATTAAGGTTTATACCTAGAATTACATTTTTAGGATGGAAGGGAGCAGACAGGAGAAAAAACAATGGTAGGAAATAGCATTCCAAATGCTTCTTCTGAAAAATAACACAAGAGATGCATGATTCACATAACAGTAACATTTATATATATAACCATCCGGAATCTCAGACTAATTAAGCATTGGTGTTCATAACAAACAGGAAAACGTATATTCGTGACACAGGGGATATATATGCAACCGTGAACCGTCTGAAATGCTAAAATCCTGTTAGGATTTTTTTGATTTCCTGGTAGTGCCATGTGAAAAAGAAATGGTAAAAAGTCAGGTTTGTAGTTAATATAATAGCAATAGGCGGGAAATTGTAATAAATTAAAAATCCTTATATACTGTAGCATCATGCAAGTCTCTTCCCGTTTTTAACAAAAAGATGTTGAAAATTTTGGTAGTTTTCTAGAAAAAAAAGGGGATAGTTTCGCTCTCTACAATCACGTATAGCCAACTTTTACGAAGTTTTCAGCTTAATTGCTGATCATCAAATAAAGGAAAAGAACACACAAAAGTGGAAAAAAATTATAAGTAAAGTCTATTAAGTGGAAAGATTTAATTTGGTGATAGAAGATAGTATATGGTCATTGAGTCTTCAAGATATGGTGAAACACATCTTAGAGATAGAAGTTAGCTAGAATGTTTCTCAACCTGAATAGTAATTTTTGGACCTACACACGGTGAGCTTAAAAAAGAGCTGAGTGACTATCATGGAAACTCTACCACAAAGATCTTGTTCATGATCTAATTTGTACAATCCTATATAGTATGCTCCACTGTTTCAAGCCTGAATTGTAGGAGATTAATTAGGCCCTCAATTTTAAATTTTTTTCCAATCTCATATTTTAAATATTAAATTTCGCGCCATAGGGCGGTTTCGCGCCTTTTTTTAATTCTTCTGTTCCCTCCTTTCAAATTTTCAGGAGTACATACTTGATGCCGGCAATTGACAATTTGCAACACTGAGCCATTGATTAAACACATAAAGCAGTTTTCATTTCAAGACTTTCATCTTGTTGTATACATCTTACACACTGACAGACTGCAGATTAAACTAGTAACTTATTCATTGTATAACCAGACTATCTGGGGTCTTCTTGTGAGACCCTCATCGCTTGACATGCATATGGCTAGTAGCTTCACACGGAGACACACACGAGTTAGGCATCAGGACGATGATGCTAAAGATCGATCACCGATCGATCGATTACTGCATTAGAAACTTGGCTGAAACTGGCTGGTTTTGTGAGAGAGAAATACTGTAGCGGTTGTTTGCTGAATAGTGTTTGCTGGGGGATCAGCCGGCTGGTCTGGATGGACCAGACCAGCGAACACGCAGTTGTGTCTTGTTAACCCATGCAGTTGTTGCCGTTGCTACCATCAGTAGTAGCAGTTGCTTCGTTGGCAACAGCAGCAGCACCATCTGCCGCCGCAACCGCCGGTGGTGGTGGTGGTGGTGAAGCTGCTGCAGGGCTGACGGCTGGCAGCGTACCGACGTAGAAGTTGGCCAAGAAGCGGGCGTGGCTCTCCGCGATGCGCTTGATGTCGGCACGGGTGAGCGTGGCGCGCACGTCCTCGCGGATTTTGGGGCGCGGCGCCGCGGGGAAGTTGAACCTGCGCGGGCTGGGTAGGCGGTGGGGGCCGTGGAAGCAGAAGAGCGCGGTGTCGTAGGCGAGCGCCGCCTCCAGGGCCTGCTCGAACCTGCCGATCCACAGCCTGGTGTGGGTGCCCGGGACGCGGATCCGCGCCGCCCACCGGCCCCGCACCCGCTCCTGCACGCCCGTCCACGTGCACCCCTGGGGATGGTTCCTACTGGCCGCCGAGTGTGCGCTGCCGCGGCGGAGCCGGTCCAGCGCCCGCCTCCTCGCCACCCAACTGCCCCGCGGCACCCGCGCCATGGTGATCACCTACAAGATGCAAGAAACCACACACAAGTGATGTGGATCGAAGAGATGGTGTGGAACTGTGGAATGAGGATGGCGCCAGAGGGGGAGGTGGCTTTAAAGGCGCGACCAGCGGCGGAGGCGTGGCTGCCTGCGCGCTTGCTGACGCGGTTACGAGAGAGCCCAGTGTATCCATGCATCGTAGCAGGTATAATCTGCAAATATTTTCATAAAATATCAAAAAATTACTCAGATTTTCTTTGGTATACTCTCATTTATTATTATGGGTTATGGATGCTTCCGTAGATGACATCTACAACTATATATCTCTTGCATCGCAGAGATACACTTCAGATAGACACGAGGAACAGACATCTGACATAGGCCACTTCCAGTTTTTCTCTAGTTTTTTTGAATGAAACTTTTTTCCTAAGGTTATTTAGATCGAGGTGGCTTAATCGATAGTTCTCGATCCTTTACAATTAGAGTTATACTTCTATCTAGTTCGAGTGTAAGTTCGTCATGCATCTCCTATCTATCTCTAAGCAGAGTGGTGTCTGATGATGATGATATTGATCTCGATCTACAGTCTAGGCCGAGATGGAGGATACGTTTTTGGTAGAAGAGGTACTGTGGCATTTACATTGCATGCATTGAATTAGAGATATAATAGTATTCGGTGGAGTGAGATTGTATAATTAAGTAGCATTTTTTAAAACCAAAGCACAGTATCAGTCAGCGGCGGATCGGCTCGAGCCCCCGGGGGAGCCGAGAACCCCGGAGCTCATATGAATTTTTAGGCAAAGTTCTATAGTGTACACTGGTAGAGAACAGAGCTTTACTCCCGGTGGGGAACCCCGTAGAACCCCCTGGAGCTCCTATGAATTTTTAGGCAAAGTTCTATAGTGTACACTGGTAGAGAACAGAGCTTTACTCCCGGTGGGGAACCCCCTCTAGTCCCGGTTCCCCACCCGGGAGTAAGCATCCGGGACTAAAGGGGGTCCTTTAGTCCCGGGTCAGGAACCGGGACTAAAGGGGGACCTTTAGTCCCGGTGGGTAACACCAACCGGGACTAAAGGTCCTCCTAGCTTTAAAAAAAATAATGCCTCCCACCGCTGCGTCCCGTGAGATTCGAACCCAAGATCCCATGCATTGCCTCGCGCGTAGCTTACCACCCCACATACACAACACATCTAACAATGGATGGGATGCTTCCCTTTTGAACTAACCCATCGGAGGACCTTTAGTCTCGGTTGGTGGGACTAAAGGGTCCTTTAGTCCGGGTTGGTGTTACCAACCGGGAGTAAAGGGTCTACTTTTAGTCCTGGTTGGTGTTAACAACCGGGACTAAAGGTTGAGGACTTTTAGTCCCGGTTGGTGGCTCCAACCGGGAGTAAAGGTCCACCTTTAGTCCCGATTGGTGTCTCCAACCGGGACTAAAGGTCCTCTGCCACTATGCCGAGCGCAGTAGCCGTTGGGCAGGGATCTTTAGTCCCGGTTGGAGACACCAACCGAGACTAAAGGTCTCTCTAGTCCCGGGCGCAAAAAATGCCGGGACTAGAGCCCATTTTAGCATCGGATAAAAGGTCTGTTCTCTACTAGTGGTAGGTGGGGCTGAGACTTAAGATCGAGCAGCAGTCGGAGGTATGTGTTGTTCAGCCCCCCTTAAAATTTTTCCTGGATCCGCCGCTGGTATCGGTGAAGCTAAAACTCCAGGCTTTGGTAAAAAAGAAATCAAAAGCGTGGGAAGATCTAACTTAAGTATTTTATAAGCACAAATGAATTACTAAGTAGCACTCTCAAAAAAGTCAGAAGGGGACCCGACCTCTGGGGATAGGGTAATACATCTAAGAAATTATTCCATCGAACGTACTCCCCCCTGGATCCGGGAATAGCAACATGAACTAAATGTCCTATCCAAGCCAAAGAACTTACTCGAAAAAATCCAAACAAATGATGATTCAGACAAGATTCGGCGTTTTTGAACCACGAAAGGTTGGCTTCCATTTGGGCTGCAGATGTAACCAACCCCCTATTAAGGATAGCGTAGAAAGAAATAATAGAAAAAGAGCTCCAGTATAAAGATCTTCATTGGTGCACAATCCAATTGTATACCACCACTGATAAACCCCAGAATAAGCGATATTCACTGACCAGCAACACCTCCTCGAGTAAAGGCTTCCATGGCGGGTTACCCAAAATGAGGATCCCAAATGGCATGAGCAATAGGTCTTACGTGTAAAGGATCCTGTATCCATGATTCAAAATTTCCTTGCCAAGCTACATGAAACAGATTTCCGGACGTCCATAGAAAGATTATTGCTAACTGCCCAAAGTGAGAAGCAAATTGTGCATATAGAAAACTCTAAAGAAAGAAAAAAAAGGAGACCCATGCCATGATTTTCAAATCTTTTCTACTTAAGTAGTCTAAAGTAGTCTAAGTTTCTCGATGAGGATAATTAATTAGGTCGTTGTGGTCGGACTCTATTATGGATTTCTGACCACATTCTCCATAGGTCCCTCTTAGATCTTCTTTCTCCAATCTTGGGTTAGGGAAGAAGGAGATATTCGCGACTACTGGCGGTTTCATTATGGGGCAGCTCATGATCTTCATATCGATCTATTATCCACCTCTGCATCTATTCTTAGCTGTAATCAATCCAACCATATCTGTTGGTCAGCTAAAGATATTATACATATACACTATACAGTAACATGCAGCCTTAGTCAACTCTATCAGTATGACATGCTTCGGATTTCAAGGGGGAAAGAACAATACTAATCATCAATTGCAAAAGGGCCCCACACTTAACTTGGTGCTATTTGCCTTGAAAAGTATTACTAACTACTAAGTGGCTATGCTAACACTACCAATTATGTGGCCTTAAATTAGCATTTCTATTAATTTCTTCTTTTTTGTAATTTATTATATTTGTTTCTATCCATTTCTATTTGTAAAGTAAACTTATATACTACTTCGTTTCAATACAATTCACATTTCTTACTAAGCGAAATAACCTAGCTACACAACAAACATATACCAAATGCTTTTGTGTATTGCCAATTCTAGATATATAAATGTAGTTGGTTGGGAACATTTGTATATATTTCAAGATTTGCAATACAAAAAACCTACCATATAGATATATTGGCAAATTATCTATTATCTATTAATAACAATATTCCACGGCGTAGTGAGAACAACAAGCAACAGCTAAACCCTGCTACTACCTCCGTTCCAAAATATAGCGCACTTTTACTTTGTCAAGTCAAACTTGTTTATCTTCAATCAAGATTTTAGAAAAATATGTTAACATCTACAAGTTCAAATAAATGTATTATCAAAACATATTTCATCGAAAAATTAGTGAAACTAATTTGATATTGTAGATATTGGTGTACTTTTCTATAAACTTGGTAAAAAAATAAAGAAACAAGACTTAGGGCAAAACCGAAGTTAACTTTAAAACTGAAGGAGTAGTTAAGATATGCTAGGTGACACCACTACAACCATTGACAAACCGTTATCAAATGGCACGCAAGCATGTCTCCTTAAGTTCGGGTTCAGCAGTCATGGATGTCTTTGCTCCCAAAGGACTGGGATAAGACGTTACCAGTCATGTCATCGTTGAGTTCATAGTTCTCGCTACTTGTCGTTTCTCGAAATAATCATAAACATTTCTTCTGAGTAGCTCCCAAAGGACTGGGATAAGACGTTATCGGTCATGTCTTCATTGAGCTCATAGCTCCAGCTACTTGTCGTTTCTTGAAACAATCATATGCATTCCTTCTGAGTAACTCTCGTTACTTCTTGTTTCTAGAAAGAAAAGATGTTCCTTCCATGGTATAGTTACAATTGACTTCTCGCTGCTTGCTTTTCGTTAGAAAGACCGATGTTTCTATTGAATGACATGTAAGCAATAAAACAACTACTTTAGGTTTAGCGTTGGTCTCCAAAATGGACTAACTAGTGGCGCGCCACTATTTTTTCAAAAGAACTATTTCCTCTTCCATGTTACATGTAGTCCCATCCTTCCAAGTTTTCTCCCTAATTTTTCTCCTAACATGAGCTCATCTAAACACCCAAAACTACCACCACCACACACACACACATGCACACACACCAGCCTTCATTGTGGAGTCACCCCCACACAATATATCATCAGTGTCCCTCATCAGTCATGTCCAATGCCACCTTTGTTAGTAGTCCATTGAACTAAAGTTACCCTTAGGGTTTAGAGTTTAAGGGTTTAGGGTTAGGGTTTTAGGGTTTAGGGTTTTAGGTGACAAAAGCCATCTGCAACTAATGTGATGACAAACCTACCCAATAGTACAGTGTTGCCAATTTTCATCACATGTACGAAAGATTCAGAAATGCACCTACATTTCCATGGTGACACACCACAGATATAAGAATGGGAACACATTGCGTATTTGAGGTTTCGCTCCTAGCATGTTTGGTACAAATTGTTATTTTGAATAAGCCTACTACAAGGTTTCACCCCTGATGCAATGACCTAAAAGTGTTGCATTGTACAAAAATGGTTGCAATAGACAAAATTGCAACACAAAAATTTCGTTGGCAGGCGTTGCCACAGTAACCTTACGTGGTCTAAAGTTTGCACCACAACTCATTTTGGTGTTGCAATAGGTTTCCCCCTTGTCGACACGAAATTTCGTCCTTTGCCTAGGGCACACGAGCAAGCCGGAAGGGTCCGCTCAATAGAGCTAGAGATCCACCTAGCTTTAACGCAAGGATTATCGATCCTGCGCACTCCTCCCGAGACGTGCCAGTCAATTTGACCCTGCAATTGACAAGGAGAGAAAACTAATCAGTAATTTAAGGCAGAACATGCCGGTGTTGCCAGACAGTCCCGAATGTGCGGCTCTGAGAGTCGATGTGGAAGGAGATCGACTAAATAGTCGATTTCGGCATATTCATAAGAATAAATCAGTTAAAACTCATGGAATTATGGAAGGAAAATCGGTTATCATTCAGGATGAATATCATTATT